TCTTATCAACACCTACACTTTTACATTTTTTAAATGTAATTGTAACCTGAGCCAGGGTCTGGAGGCTAGTCAAATTTTTTTTTCCTTTTTTTTAATCTGGCCTTTTCATAGGTAACAATAAAACAGTTATGGTGAGAGCTCTCACAAATTGTTTTCCCAAATATTTCCAATTTAAACTGTCCATCATCTGGCCAGATTGACCACTAAGATCTTAAACTTAACAGCAACTCATACCAAAGCTTAACCATGGATGTAAGAGATGTCCTCAAAAGAGATCCAGAGCGTTGCCTCCCCAAAATAAGAAAGCACAACAAGCAACAAAGGTTAAGACGACAAAGGCCCCTTATGAAAGCAAATGGGCCCCCTTATGACAAACCCCTGAGAGCAGACACAGGCAGACAAAGAGTGTGTCCCAGAACCCCAGTCCACTTGACTGGCCACCAAGATGAATGCTGGTACATGTATCCTCCAGATGGTGGAGCCCAATGAGGTCACAAAGCCAAGCCCCAGATAACAGTCTTATAGAGATACCTGTGTCTTACTTATGACAAATGACAAAAAAAGATGGAGACGAGAAATAGTGACTATTTCTGGGAGGAAAAGGATCAATTAACCAATGAGTACTCAACCAGATCCTAGAGTTGCTGAGTCCAAGAAGCTAGGTTCACCACTATTTTCTCCTGCTAATCTAAATCTAGAAAAGAAGAAAACTCCCCACTCTTGCTTCCACTGGACCCTGCAGGCAGAGATCCGGGAGACTGACATGGTAAGAACTCTTTACCTCCTGCCAGCTCTTGTCAGGGGTCCAGGAACTCTCGGCTGCAGTAGTCCAGGAGTAAAGAGCATCCAGCCAGTGAAATTTTTATCCCATCCAAGTCACCAAACTGAAGGGGAGGAAGACCGTCCTCTACCTACTCTGAATCCTTTTTGGCTGGGCTACAAATTAAATTGACATGAGACTGAATAGCAGGAGAAAATCGAACAAAGCTTTATAACATGTATACATGGGCGAAACCAAGGAAACTGAGTTTCTCAACAAGGTGGTGGAGGTTCTCACCTTAAATACTACCTTCAGCTAAAGACAAAGGAGGATGTTGGGGGTGGGGGCGTCCGCTACGGGAGATGACCAGAAAGCACAGTAAACAAGTGTATGCAGATTAAGTCCTCACCTTCCAGCCTTCCACACTTATAAGAGTTTCTAGAGATAAGGTCATCCCCCCTTCTTCCTGGTACAGAGAGGGAGATACCTTTACAAATGGAGATTTCGCTTGTCAATGTCAATGTCTCTTACAAAGGGTAACTTCTACTTTTCAGAGCTTCTTTCCCTTCTGCAGTTTCTTAAAAGTAACCAGCCTCAAATGATCCTCATGTGAAAGAGACACATTTCTGGGTGGCCAATTCTGATCTCCCACAGTAGAAGACAAATTATATGTACACCCATGTATATTTATATACAGTTTCACATATCAGATTGGCAAAGAACAGTCTGATAACACTGTATTGTAAGGGTGGGAAAGCAGGTACTCATACGTTGCTGGTGGGAATGTAAAACTTCTGTGGAGGATAATTTAGCAGTATTTATCAAAATTACAAACATGTATGTGTTCTTTTACTCAGCAGTTCCACTTCTAGGAATATATACTACAGATATACTCACATACGTGTAAAAAGATAAAAATACAAGGTTATTTAATCATTGCAGCAATATTTATAATAGCAAGATTAGAAATAACCTAAATGTCATCTATATGGATAGGTTAAATAAATTATGTTTATGAAATTTGGAATACTGTGCAGCTATACAAAGGGATGAGAACATTGTTTATGTAAGGAAGTGGAATGTTCTTCAAAATATTAAGTGAAAAAAAGCAAGCACTAAACAGTGTGTACAGAATACTAGCATTTGGGTAAAAAAGGTTAGATGAAAATGTATTTAGTATTTAATTGAACATGCATTGAATAGCTCTAGAAGGATTTTAAAAAAAGCAACTGATAGCATTTTAGTTGCTTCCAAGGAGAAGAATATGGTACCTAGAGACAGATATGAAGGGCAACTTTGCACTGTATACCTTTTGAATTCTGAATTTGAATATGTTACATTGCCCAAAACTAGCAATTGAAAAAATTTTAAATGTACACTTGCTATTACAGAAATTGAGATTATTAATATTAATATTGAGAGACCTTGGAGAAGTAGTGGTAGTAGAAAAGTAAGAAAGTGAAGTCATGGAGAAAAGGTTTAAAAAATGTAAAACGCCCGACTCCGCTCTGGATGAATCTGTAGCTGCAAACTCTGAATGTCCTGCCCTCCTGCAATAATGCAGTTGGTTTCTCTGAGTTTTCCAAGGGGCATTTGTTCATAAACCATGCTTTACATTTCTTCCGTTTGACTTTTCTCAGAAACAGTGACAGGAATCACTAGGAAATTGCCCTCTGCTTTTCTGTGCGTCAGACCCAGAAGAAGGCAGGATGCAGTTGGTGCAGTGAGTTCTGTGGCTGCCCACCCAGGTGGAGAGCTCTGGTTTTTAAAAAGCTTGGGCTCAGAAAGAACAGTGGTAAAGACCACAGAAAAATGCACCCTTGACGAAGATGGTGTCCACAGGAATGGAAAGACATACAAATGACAGTGAGATTTTCAGCCCCAGAAGTAATAGAAATGCACCTTTCTACCCTGAATTGAGGAGATGGTAACTTTGTTAAACTGCCTTTGCCTTACTGTATCCTTCTATGAATTACTATGGCCTGAGTGTTGCAAGTTTCGTTTTCTCATCACACTCCTACGGAAGTCATCTCATCAGTGGCACTTTTTTGTTGCCTTTGCTCAGTGCTGCCTGTGCCAGCCTTACCTACAAAGCCACTGACTGAGCAGTTACTGGGACAGTTTTTTTATTATTTAAGTCCAGTTCTGGCCCAGTAACTTCTGGTGGCTGTAAGGGATGTGATGTGGAATGCGTTTGGGTTGGGTGTGGTATTTGGGGTGCTTCCTGTTGTTCCCCTTTCGCCTCCTTCCTCCATGAAAACCCATCCCCTGGAGTAGAGGTAGAATTATATTTGAGAAAGCGGAGTAGGTGGAAAAGTGACTCAGAGTTGAGGATGAAGAGGCCAGTTTCTGCCAGATACTCTTCCAGGTAACCATTGAGCTTTGCTAATGCTAAACAGAGGCTACCGCGATTTGCCTTAAAACTCCCTTCAGATGCTTCTTAAGGCAATGAAACAACTTTGTTTTTGAAGAGTCCTAAGGTTCTCACATAACTACAGAGAAGATCTGAGTGTTACATGCTTTCTCACCTCTGGTACCTCAGGTAATTTAGGTTAGTTACTATGTAGTTCACTATTACATTAGTTCATACTCCTATCGATTTAGGTCACTTTTTGACCTTAAAGATTTTGACACACTAGAATGGCTATAATCAAAAAGATAGACAGGGCCGGCCCTGTGGCTTGGTGGTTAAGTGCGCGCGCTGCGATGCTGGTGGCCCAGGTTCGGATCCCGGGTGCGCATCGAGGCACCACTTCTCCGTTCATCCTGAGGCCGAGTCCCACATACAGCAACTAGAAGGATGTGCAGCTACGACACACAACTATCCACTGGGGCTTTGGGGGGAAAAATAAAATAAATAAAATCTTTAAAAAAAAAAAAAAGATAGACAATAACAAGTGTTGGTAAGGATATGGAGAAATTGGAACCCTCAAACGTTGCTGGTGGGAATGTAAAATGGTGCAGCTGCTTTGGAAAACAGTTTGGTAGTTCCTCAAAATGTTATACAGAGCTGTCATATGACTGGACACTCCACTCCTTGATATATGCCCAAGAAAAATCTAAACATACATTCACACAATACCTTGTACACAAATGTTCATAGCAGCACTATTCATAATAGCCAAAAAGTGGAAACAACCTAAATGCCCAACAACTGATGAATGGATAAACAACATGCTGTATATCCATGCAATGGAATATTATTCAGCCATAAAAAGGAATGACACACTGATACATGGTACAACATGGATGAACCTTGAAAATATTGGCTAAGTGAAAGAAGCCAGTCACAGAAGGCTACATATTATATGATTCCAATTATATGAAATGCCCAGAATAGGAAAAATCCATACAGACAGGAAGTAGATTAGTGATTGCCAGGGGCTGGGAGTGGGGCACAGAGGAGGAAAAGGGAGTGACTGCTAATAGGTATGGGTTTCTTCTTGGGGTGATTGAAAATATTCTGGAATTAGTGGAAATAGTTGCACAACTGTGTTTTTTTTTTGTGAGGAAGGTCAGCCCTGAGCTAACATCCATGCTAATCCTCCTCTTTTTGCTGAGGAAGACTGCCTCTGAGCTAAGATCTATTGCCAATCCTCCTCCTTTTTTTCCCCAAAGCCCCAGTGGATAGTTGTATGTCATAGTTGCACATCCTTCTAGATGCTGTATCTGGGACGCAACCTCAGCATGGCTGGAGAAGCGGTGCGTTGGTGCGCTCCCGGATCCGAACCCGGGCCACCAGTAGCGGAGTGCCTGCACTTAACCGCTAAGCCACGGGGCCGGCCCACAACTTTGTGAATATATTAAAAACCATTGGGGGCTGGCCCTGTGGCTTAGCGGTTAAGTGCGCGCACTCCACTGCTGGCGGCCTGGGTTCGGATCCCGGGCACACACCGACGCACCGCTTCTCCGGCCATGCTGAGGCTGCGTCCCACATACAGCAACTAGAAGGATGTGCAACTATTACATACAACTATCTACTGGGCTTCGGGAGAAAAATAAATAAATTATATATTAAAAAAAACCCATTGAATTGTATACTTTAACATGATGAATTTTATGGTATGAATGATATCTCAATAAAAAATTTTTAAAAGATTTGTACACATGCACAATTATATATTAACTCTCTCTTCCTGAGTATAAAGAGGGCATCAGACACAACAGTTACCAAATGCAGATCACTGAGTACCAATGCATGATTGCCAGAAACCCTTAGTTCTCCTTAATTTGTTTGTAGGCAGCATAGCCTCCTTCCAGGCTCCGAATGCCAAACTTCGGCTAGTGGTCCTTGCGCTTGGCGTGTCTTCCTCTCTGATAGTGCAAGCTGTGACGTGGTGGACAGGAAGCGGTTTGCAAAGGTATGGTTTGTGTCTTATACCTTTAGACAAGCAAGTGTGATTAGTTACCAAAGGGAAAGTCGGGACCAGGAGTTCCAGTGTAGTATTTACCTTGCATTTGGCCTTGTAGAAGTCTCATTTTTATCCTTTTCACAAAACCAGGATGTGAATACTTGCCAATAGTTTTAATAATGTTTTCAGAATTAAAGAATTATGACAAGCTGCCTAGGTAACGGGCTCTATAAAGGCTAAGACATGTACATTACTGCAAATTACCAGCAAGACTATTTCCTATACTCATTCTGTGAAACTATGAAATTCATTATCGGCATAGTACATTGAAACCACACAAAAAGTCGTTAAAAATACTTTTGTACTCACAGGTACTTCAGAATCTGGGGATTCATCTTAGGACAGATTCTTCTTCTTGTTCTCCGCATTTGGTACACTTCACTAAACCCAATCTGGAGTTATCAGATGCCCAACAGAGTGATACTGACGTTAAGTACCATAGCCACACTTGATCGCATTTACATGGGTAAGAATACGCCCAGTTTGTTTCGGGATTTTCTCTCTTGCATAGTTTACCTTGCTTATTTGAATGTAACACATCTTGAAAAGATAAAAATGGTCTTTCTGCACTAATCTCCATTTCAACTTTTTCTCCCTCTGAAATAGAAACCTGCGCAGCCAGCGTGGACTATTATCTAAGCAGAAGGCACCTTTTCCTTGCCAGTAACAGAGGGTGAAAGCAAAAAGCTGGCTTGTATCGCTGTGCAGTGGGAGAGTTGAGCCAGACCTCGTGCTCCCAGCTGGCTTCAGCTCTTCCTCCCCTTCCCCCTGGACAGAGCTTTCCAGGATGGGCTCCTTCATCTTTCTGCCTCCATACTGACCCCAGTATATCTCTAACACTGTGGAAAGTTATCTGTGAGCTAGGGCTGTGGGAACTACCTGGGTTTTTTTTGTGTGTGTTTTTTTTTTTCCCAAGAGTCTGAAAATATTTAAGTTCCAAATCTAAAATTTGAAAAGAAAGGAAATCTTGCAAATTCACACCACCTTTCAAATCCCCTGTCTCTGTCTGGAGCTGACTTACTCTGAGATAGACACATATCCATCTTGATGTTTGCTTTGTGTGCTTACTCGAGACCTCCTGAAAAGAAGGGGAAGTGTTACTGAGTCTAATTATCTTGCTCCTGGCTTTTAGTGTAACTCTCAGTGAGTCACTGTTCTTTTGTAAATACAAGGAGACATCTCACAGATTAATGGAAGTTTAGAGGGTTTTGGCTCACCGTGAACAGAGTGCTTGTATAATGCCCCTTTTGCCCCAATTTTGGCATGAAACGGGGGTAGTGAGAAGAGGGGGAAATCGTGCAAGTGAATTGGTCAGGTGACGTTAATATTAGTTAGAACTTTGAGAACTCCGTCTATATATATATGCTTTAATGTGTTCTATATTTCATAAAACGCTAACATCTAGAGGCGGAACTCAGGCAGCAAATTTCGCAGGTACAGCCTGATAAGGATCGGAACTTCGGGGTATCATTTACATTTCCTGACTTGAGTTTTCTTCTTTCTCGCCTCTGTTTTAAATTTATGTGACCCAGTTGTCTGTCCCTTCCTGTTTTTGCCCTGTGCCCCATTTACAAAACTCAAGTCTTCCCACCAGCTTCCCCAGGGTATCTGATGATAACCAGGAGTTTTTTGTAGTTTTGTTGAAGATTTGCTGGATCCTGGGGGAGGACTCACCCATCATAATACACAGCATATTACTCAGCAGGTTCATTTTAGGTATCTCTCTTCTCCAAAAACTGTCTGCTTAGCCTCCAGGCCATGGCCTCCCTTCTGTCTTCACCACCCTTTCCCTCATCCCTATAGCTTTCAGCTCTGCTCCTCCTTCCTCCTTGTAAAATAGGGCTGCCAGCCACAAAGCCCTGAGGCATCCTCCTATCCTGCAGAGGGCTTCACAGTGTCGTAAGCATCTGCCCAACAGGCTCTCTGTTCCTACAAAGAAATTCTCCTGCCAGCATTTTCTGCAGTTGTTACATTATGTGAAGTCAATGATGCAATGAATTGAGACCTCTTGGTTCAACAGCCCCATGAAGTATAGTCTAGTTAAGGACACAGGCGCTGGCACCAGGCTAAGTTCCAATCCCAGTTCCTCTTTACTAGCAGTGTGACCTTGGACAAATTACTTATTCTCTCTGGGCCTCGGTTTTCTAATCTGTAAAATTGGGTTAGTAATAGAGCCTACCTCATAAAGTTGTGAAAATTCAGTGAGCTCATATAAAGGGCTTGGAACAGGGCTTGGCACACAGTGACTGCTCAGTCTATGCACTATTATTACTCGCTATACAGAGGGTTAGGTGAGAGCCCTGTTCTTTCTGGGGGAAGCAGCCTGGTGTACTGGAAATGTTCCACTCAAGTTGGACTGCATTTGTTCCCTGAACATACCCTTCACTATTTCTACGTATATTTTTGCTCATGCTGTTAACTTCACATGAAGTAAATAACTTTCTGCATTTTTTTGAATTCCAAGATGCTTTGTTGCCTCTATACTGTTCCTGATCTAGCCTGCCTGAGATCAGCTCTCTTACTGCCTAGCTCTCAGGACATTCTGCTTTGTATTGTAGTTGCACGTCCCATCTCCTCTTCTAAAGTAAGCTCCTAGAAGCCAGGTATATTTCTTACTTGCTAAAAGTCTGTTAAATATAGAGGGTAGATTTCCATGTAACTGACCCTTTTCCATTTTTTATTCTAGATGGTGACTGCAGTAAACCTGAGGGGAAAAAGACTGGTGAGGCAGCCAAGGGGATGGCCTCTAGATCTAACTGGTTGTTGGCAGGGGCTGCCTTTGGCAGTCTCGTGTTCCTCACCCACTGGGTTTTTGGAGAGGTCTCTCTCGTTTCCAGATGGGCAGTGAGTGGGCATCCCCATCCGGGGCCAGATCCTAACCCATTTGGGTGAGTTTGGGTTTGGAAGCAATCAAGAAATTGGCTGGGGCCAGCCCCGTGGCTTAGTGGTTAAGTGTGCGCGCTCCGCTGCTGGCGGCCCGGGTTCGGATCCCGGGTGCGCAGACGCACTGCTTGTCCGGCCATGCTGAGGCCGCGTCCCACATACAGCAACTAGAAGGATGCAGCTGTGACATACAACTATCTACTGGGACTTTGGGGGAAAAAATAAATAAATAAAATTAAAGAAATTGGCTGTTACAGTTGGGGCAAGAAATACCTCCTTTGTAGAGCAGCTAGATCTGCGCTAGCCAGATATTTCATATGCTACTCTCCCTAGATGTCACACACATTGAGTAAGAGGTTCTGGGAGCTCCTGCATGGGCATAGAAGAGTTTTCTCAGTGGTGGGAAGGTGTGATGTTCCCTGGCATTTTCCTCTAGACACCCTTCCCCCCATTACAGTTATTGGCATTTGGTAGGACAAGACCAGAGTGTCCTGATGAGAGATATGGGGTTTGCAGCCTGGCACAGATCTGTATTCTCTGCAAAGGAGGGAAGCCCAGGAGATCTCTGTATCCTCTGGTAGTTTGGGATTTGCTCCAACCGTGGGGCACCTAGGAAGGGAGCAGTCTTGCGTTTAAATATTAGTCCATGTGCTCGGTCCTCATTAACCTTTTCTCTTTTCTTCCTGACACCTCTTTTCTCCCATGTGGGTTCCAGGTTTTCATGTGAAAAGATTGGAGGAACTCTTAAAACATCTGCCTCAGATATCTGTTTTCCCTTAAAGTGCTGAAATTCCCACATTTGGAGACAGGCAGCTGCCTGCTGCATCTTCCCCAGCAGACATCTGGGCATATCCCACAGGCTTCTCAGACTCAGCATGTCCAAACCTGGACTCAGTAGTTCCCAGGACCGAAACGTGTTCCTCTTCCTCCATGCCTTGGTTCACTCTATCTGTCTACTCCATCATCCAAGCCAGAAACCAAGAGTCATCCTAGAATTCTGTCTTCCTCGTTTTCTGCATCTATTTGGCATTAAGTCCAGTTGATTCTACCACTTCTTTCAAATCTCTCCCTTCTTCCCCATCCCCGACCATAACGGCCTTAGTGGAGTCCTCACCATCTTTCATCCAGGCTCTTGCTATTGTCTTCTAATGGTTTCTCTTCAGTGTGGTCTTCTCCACACTGCTCCAGAATGATCTCTCTAAAACACAAATCTGACTGCAGCACTCCCTTGCTTAAAACCTTTCAGCAGTTTCTCTCCCACCAATACCAGGTCATATGAGACAGGATCTACCCCCTACCCTCCACTTTTACAAATGCTCCCTACCTTATCCCTGTACTTCACCTGGGCTGAAAGCACTTGCAATTCTCTAGACGTGCTGAGACTGTTCTAGTCCTCCATCTGCATGTATGTGCTCTTTCTTCTGTCTGGGCTGCCTTCTCTTCCTTAAGATCCTGGCAAGCTCTTATTCACCCTTTAAAACCCAGCTCAAGTATCTCCTCTGTGAAGTCTTCTCTGATTATTCCAAGGGTTCCTTTATGCCACATACTATCTTGAATCCCCCCCACCCGTATATCTCTTATTATTATTCTGTGTTACAGATTTTTTAAATACTACAGTTATTTTACATCTTTTTTCATTTCTAGACACTGAGCTCCTTGAGGGCAGGGAATGGGAAAAGGAACTGATATTTATGACTTACTCTGTGTCAGGCACTGAGCTAGGAGATTTACATATGTTATCTCGTTCAGAGTCTATATCTTTTTGCTCTTGGATACTGTAGCATATTTGGGAGGAAAGAGAGAAGGAAGAAAGGCACAAAGGAAGAGAAAGGAAGGGAAGGAGTTTATTCTCACCTGTTAAAGCTTTGTCTCCAAAGTTCCCTGTGAAAACAAGCATAAGTTGTGTGAAAGAGCAGAGGGAGAGCCGGATCGGGAATGGCAGCCAGGCTTGAGGGCTGGAGTCCTGGTTGGTCAACAGTAACTCGCCATTCTACCTGGGACCAGTCACATTACATCCCTGGCCTTGTTTTTCTCACCTGTAAAATAAGAGTTTTCTGTTCAGATATCTTATGATTCTGTGTATTGGAGTGACACATTGAAGATAGAGATGCAACCTGTGAGACTGGCACTTCCCAAATTGTGTTCTGTAGAACACTGATTTCTTGAGATGTCAGTAGCTACTCTAAGAGAGAGAAAAAAAGTCTTCTAGATCAAATAGGTTTAGAAAATATTGCATTTCATATTCCTTTCTTTGTGATTCGCAAGGCACATTAGTGTATTAGAGACTCTTGGGAATTTCTTAAACTTATTTGAACATGGAATTCCTTTTTTAGAACTCCTATTAACATATCATGAAATTGGTATTTCTCGGAACCCTGTTTGAGAAATGTTGCATTAGACCATCATCACCCATGACCATCATAGTAGGAATTGCTTTCTAAAATTCACTAGATTCTACTGAAGGGAATGGGTCATGGGTAAGTTTTGATGGGATAAAGATGTGAGAGGTGGGAGAAAGAGGTGAGACAGAGACTCAGAGGGTGAGGAACCAAAGGGTCAGTGTAGACCGTAGCTCCTGGGAGAATGAGGGAGCAGGACAAACTGTGTCTTAGGCACATGTTCCAACTCCCCTCAGCCCACCCCAGCACTCCTGACCCTGTTACTTTTACTCTTCTGTAGCGCTTTCCACCTTCTGATATCCTGCATTATTTGTTAATTGTGTTCATTGTCTGTCCCGCTGCCCCCACCCCCACCGTGTGTGAGCCCTGCGGAGGAAAGGGATCTTGTTCACTGATGTATCCCAAGCCCCTAGAACAGAGTCTGGCACATAGTAGGTGCTTGTAAACGTTTGTTGTTGAATTGGGGGTAGAAAAAGATCAACAGTGTCCTCCATGGCCTTTTCTCACATCTGGTCTTCTGTAGACCCAGGACGATCCTTAACCTTAGGAGGTGGGGGTAGGCGGGATAGCAGCTGAGAGCCTCCCTCCAGAGGCTGGGGGCCTTTGTTGGATTGTCCTATGTGGGCCACTGTGCATGACCTCAGGCAGGTTACGTAAGTGCTCTTTCCACCAGTGTCCTCCTCTGCAAAATGGGGATAATAATAGCATTTACCTTACAGACTTGTGAGGATTAAATGAGTTAAAATATGTAAAAATCTTAAAACAGTACCTGGAATGTAGTGCTGTGTTTTTTAACTTAATTTTTATTATAGCTACTTAATTGAGTGCCAAGTTGTAGCTATTATTGATGTTGGATTATCCCCTAAAGTTTAGTTAAATTCTTTTTTTCCTCCTCCTACAAGTTTTTGCCAAAGTAGCTAAAGAATGAAATAGCTTATAGCTGTTTTAAAAAACACACAACTATCGTTTATCAAACTGACACCAGTCTCGGGAAGGCAGTGATTATAGATAAAAGCAGCATTGAGGTTGAGAAAAGAAAGAAAACAGGCGAATTGAATAGAAACTATTCCCAATGCCTTTTTCTTTTTGTCTTTGGCAGAGTCATTTAAAATGTCACATGGCCAATGTGGACTCTAATTTAGTTGTCTGAGAAAACTCAATTACTGCGTTTACATTGACCATGAAAGGTGGCAGGTATCACTTATCTCAAGTCAAAGTTGTTATTACTTCAGTGTTCTGAATGTATATAATATTGGTTCCCAATGGGCTCTCATCTCATTGGTTGTTCCACACTCATATTATCTCTTGGATGTACCTAGAGGTAAGAGATATATTTCTGTTTTATATTTGGGACAGTGAAATATTAATAATGTTGGATATCCTATGGCATGTCATTTTTTACAGAGGCGCAGTTCTGCTGTGCTTGGCGAGTGGATTGATGCTTTCGGCTTGTTCCTGGTTTCCTGGTACCAGTTTAATCTGGTGGGTTACAGGTATGTGGAGGTGACCTGCAGATATGCCAGTCATTAAGCTTGGCTGTCCAGTTCACTTGCAAGTGTGTGCGCCTAGACTGGAAGTAGATGACCGAGGCAGCCATACAAATAGACGCTGTTGCCAAGCGGGCTATTCTAAACAGCTGCAGCCACTAGAACCCAGATGTCACCACGATTTCCAGTGACTACTGGCTGCAGGTTCCTAGTTCCTCCGTATCATTTTCCCTCTCCTCCTGTAGCTGTCTTATTCCCCCCAAGTATGCTGACATAATGTCCCCCATCTCCCAAACACATATGTCAGTAACAGATTTACTGAAGGTTTGAGGAGACAGAGGGTTGTATGTTGCCACGTTGCCAGACCTCTTCCCCTCTCCAAGATTCCTTACCTCTCTGGTTTTTAGGAATGCCCTCCTTTGGAATTCCATAATGAAGCTCAATTTCCCTTTCTCTTTTACATGTAACAGTTCAGCTCCTCATCCCTCTACTCAGCTTTGGGCTCCATGTTTGCTTATTCAGAGGCTTGGACCCTCTCCTCCCAGTCACACCCTTTAGGATCACAGAATATTGGTGAAGACTGTCATATTTCAGGAACAATCTGTTTATTTTCCCACAACTGAGTTATGTCACGCTTCTGGCTTCCCCTTAAAAGGCAGAAATGGTTAGAGTCAGTTTTAGTGTTAAATAAAAAATCCCCGATTCTGTGACAGAGCAAATACTACATTTGGTTTCTGTGAGAAGAGATGTCCTTATACATATTAATTAGTCGGGTGATTCAGAGCGTTGCGCTAGATGCTGTGTGTGGGTCTGTGAGACTATGTGTACGGGTAATAGAAGATGTGGGTTGAATACATAATCAGTAAATTTCTGTACACCCTGAGTGCCATCACCCTTGCATGGAGATGTATGTGTAATCGACTAGGCTGCTCAATTAATGAGGTTGACCAGGTCCTCATTCTCCCGGGGCTGTGTGAGCACGCTGTTGCAGTCACATTGAGCTGTTTTTACTTGCTTGCGTATTTCGTGGTAGGCATTGCATACGAGATCTGTGGGAGTTTGTGTGAATATAATATAGGAGTAACCTTTCTTCTCATCAGAGATATGCCTCATGAGATTCCTCAAGAAAGGCCAGATAACTTTGTAAATGCTGTTTGCATTGAGCATATATAGCTTCTTAATCTGTATGCAATGGGAGAAGGAACATGAAATACGTTAAAAGTTTGTTCAGCGTTTATAGCATGCTTTTTCTCATCGAATATAAGCTAAATGCTTATTGGGCAGGTAATTAGCAGCTTCATTTTATTTTATTTTTTTGTGAGGAAGATCAGCCCCGAGCTAACATCTGTCGCCAATCCTCCTCTTTTTGCTGAGGAAGATTGGCCCTGGGCTAACATCCGTGCCCATCTTCCTCTATTTTATGTGGGACGCCGCCACAGCGTGGCCCGACAAGTGGTGCATCGGTGCGCACCGGGGATCCGAACCCCAGGCCGCCGCAGCGGAGTGCACACTCTTAACCGCTACGACACCAGGCTGGCTCCAGCAGCTTCATTTTAGACGTGGGAAAACTGAGGTTCACAGGAACATGAACTATTAGTTAAGGAACAGAAAAGCTGTGAATTTATAGTGTTAAGCTAATACTTATTTCCCCAGATAAGTAAGGTCCTAGCCTTGAGAGTCAAACCTAATCTAGTTCTGCTGTCTCTCTGAAGTATTAAATAGCAGTTTAGGCCGGCCCCGTGGCTTGGCGGTTAAGTGCGCGTGCTCTGGTGCTGGCGGCCCGGGTTCGGATCCCGGGCGCGCACCCGACGCACCGCTTCTCCAGCCATGCTGGGCCGCGTCCCACATACAGCAACTGGAAGGATGCGCAACTATGACGTACAACTATCTACTGGGGCTTTGGGGCAAAAAATAAATAAATAAAATTATAAAAAAAAAAATAGCAGTTTAAAAGACCCCAGGGGCACGCAGATTTAAGGCTTCTAATAGGCTCTTTGCAGCAGACGTGAAAGCAGGGCCGTAATTCATGAGTTTCTTCTCCCTCTCTGATAGCCCACTCACCTGAAAGAAGTTGGAGCTCGCACTTAATTATCTAGAGATGGTGCCCACTTTTTCGCTGTGATTCATCTCTGGAAACCACATCATAAAGCAGAGTGTAGAAAAAGAAATCATATTTTTTCATCGTCCAGTTAAAGTTTGCAATCCCAACTGGGTCTCGGTATGAAATTAATTATGGCAATGACCAACAGAATTTCATAAACGCAAAGATACAGGAGCGTTAAATCTTGATGGCAATTAAATTAGTAAAATCAAAGTTCTATTAAAAAAAAGACATTGATATACTAAACACATTGATAGGACCCCAGTGTACTGTAGAGTGTGCCTACAATTTTATTGTATAAACAATTTGATCTATTGAAAGCTAACGTGTTGGTTATTATAAATATTGGACTATTCAATTACCATTAATTCTGCTTGATGTCTTAGATGTTATAAAGATTTGGGGGAGATTATTTGGAAGGACTCAGTCTCAAACAAAAAACAGTTGAGGTAACAGTTAAGTGAAAAAGGCAGAGTGACTGACAGTGTGTGTCATATGCTACCACTGATGTCCAAAAAAGGAGGGAAATGCACACACATATATATATTTCTTCTATATATATATGTGTGTGCATATATGCGTGGACTTCCTATGCATGGACTGTCTCTGGAAGGATGCAGAAGAAAATGCTAACATTGGTTGCCTTCACTAAGGGGAACTAATGGGTGACAGGGATCAAAGGGACTCTTTTTTACCTTTTGAATTTTGGATTTTGAATTTATAACGTATTTAAAAATACAATTTTAGTGGATTTAAAAATATATAGCCTATTTAAAAATAGAAACTAAATTAAAAATAAAAGCAATAACAGGGCCGGCCCCGTGGCTTAGTGGTTAACTGCGTGCGCACCGCTGCTGGCGGCCCGGGTTTGGATCCCGGGTGTGCACCGATGCACCGCTTCTCCGGTCATGCTGAGGCCGCGTCCCACATACAGCAACTAGAAGGATGTGCAGC